ACAGCAGATGGCTAAGATGTCACATACTTGTTTTAAATGTATTTGCCAAAGGCCCCTGTGGGAACGCTCAGCTCTGATTTCTTTGCTTCCACATACCTCCTATTGTCTGAAGGGATGCACTCTCCTCCCACCTTCCCCTACCTAGCCTTCAGCTGTGTCAACATTCAGCGACAAAAAATTGAATCTACTTCCATGTAAGTAGAAATGTCAGTCTAATTGAATCAAGCAGAATCATACGATGGTCATCCCATTTATTCTTCCACAGAATGAGCGAAAACAGACTTCCAGTTCCCCACCACAGATGGCTAATTAGGATCATGGTATGAGGGAATCTGTCCAGGGGCCTTTTGCACTTGGAATAAGCCCTCTGTTGTGTACCTGATACCAAGAGCTACCTCCCTTTCACTAAGTCGGCTTTTCCCACGCTTTCTATTGTGCAAATGTAACCAAATTTGGGAAGCCGTGTTAATCTGTAACTTTAAAAACAATGAGTGGTTCTATAGCACCTAAGGGTATGTCTACACTTGCACCCTAGTTCGAACTAGGGATGCAAATGCAGGCATTCAAAATAGTCAATGAAGCAGGGATTTAAATAGCCCTTGCTTCATTAGCATGATCTTGCTGGCGCGTTACTCCGAATGCCAGCTGTTTCGAAAGTGAAAGTGCACGCCAGGACGTGTTAGTTTGAACCAAACCCCTTGGTTCGAACTAACGTATGCATCCCGGCACGCACTTTCACTTTCAAAACAGCTGGCATTCGGAGTAACGCGCCGGCGACATCATGCTAATGAAGCGCGGGATATTTAAATCCCCGCTTCATTGACTATTTCAAATGCCTGCATTTGCATCCCTAGTTCGAAGTGGGGTGCAAGTGTAGACATACCCTTAGAGACAAACCAAAATATATAGTCATGAGCTTTCATGGGCTAAACCCACTTAATTCAATTCATTTGTCCAGTTCACCTGATGAAGTGGGGTTTGCCCATGAAAGCTCATGATTCTATATATTTTGGTTAGTCTCTAGGGATGCGTCTACTCAACAGATGCTGGCTGTGTTCCAGGTGTACTGTGGCTCGGACACTCACTCTGGTGATCCAGCCACAGGGCTTTGGACTCTAGGCAGCAGGCCCATTCTTCCAAGTGTCAGCCCCCTGCTCCTCACTGGGGTTATGATTCCCCTCCCAGTCTGACCTTCAAGGACTCTTGCAGGGGCTGTCTCTCCGTGCAGGGCCCTCTGCCCAGAGGCCCCCTTGGCTGGCCCCAGATGCTCACCGTATCTGGCCCCAGACTGCACTAATGCTGTTCTGCTTCCAACCACGTGGGCTGCTTTTTTGGCCCCTCTGGCTCGGGCTGCTGCATCTCTGCTCCCACCACAGCTCTGCTGTCTGGGCTGCTTCTCTGGCTGGCTCAGATCTGCTCCCCAGCTGAGCTCGGGGCCCTGCTCTCTCCTTATCTCAGCCCCACTCTGTCTGACCCTGGCAAATCCAGCTCAACAAAGGATGGAACCACTACCCTCCCGCTCTGTCAATCAGGCAGACCTGGAGCATTGGCCTTTCCCCAATGCTCCTGGGGATTGTCAATCTCAGGGCTTGTCTACACTAAAAGGAAGTTCACCACTGTTGCGATCAATCTACCAGAGTTCAACGTAGTGAGTCACCAGTTATTAGCTCTCCTTCCCTGCTAAGTAATGGACAAAGCTGTTATTCTGTTGTTTTGCTTTTACTCCTAATGTATTTTTAAAAATCTCTTCTTATTACCTTTTAAGTCTCTTGCAAAGTATAACTCATTTTGTGCCTTAGCCTTTCTGATTTTGTCTGTGCATGCTTGTGTTGTTCTTTTGCGCTCATTCTAAGCAATTTGCCCATATTTCCATTTTTTGTAGGATTCCTTTTTGGTTTTCAGGTCATTAAAGAGCCCCTGAGGGAGCCATATAGGCCTCTTATTATTCTTCCTGCCTTTCCTTTGCATCTGGATAGTTTGCTGCCCTGCCTTTCATATTGCCACTTTGGGAAACTGCCAGTTTTCCTGAATTCCTTTCCCCTTTTTTCTTCCCATGGGATCTGCCTACCAGTTCCCCCCTGCATTCATTAAAATCTTTTTTTTTAAGCCCATTGTCCTTATTCTGTTGCTCACCCTCCTTCCTTTCCTTGGCCAGATCCAGCCCACCAAGCCACCACATCTGGCCCTCAGCCACCTTGCTGGAACCCTTAGGCTAAGTCTACACTACGGCTGTGTCTACACTGGCACCCTTTTCCGGAAAAGGGATGCTAATGAGACAAGTCGGAATTGCAAATGCCGCGGCGGATTTAAATATCCCCCGTGGCATTTGCATGAACATGGCTGCCGCTTTTTTCCAGCTCGGGGCTTTGCCAGAGAAAAGCGCCAGTCTAGACGCGGATCTTCCGGAAAATAAAGCCTTTTCTGGAAGATCCCTTATTCCTGATTTTAAGAGGAATAAGGGATCTTCCGGAAAAGGCTTTATTTTCCGAAATATCCCGTCTAGACTGGCGCTTTTCTCCGGCAAAGCCCCGAGCTGGAAAAAAGCGGCAGGCATGTTCATGGCAAAGCCG